ATATTTTTAACTCTGCTGAGATAAGGGGGTTTCCATAACTGGAAATACAACACTGCAGTTTCAAAGACAGAAAAACAGTCCTGATTTCACCACTGGGCATGTTTTCCGCCATGAATACGAATCCAGAAACTCAGTCCTCCATAGATTACAGCAAAACAAAAACTCAGCACGAGCATGGTAATGGGAACAGGATACAGAGTAGGTGGAGGAAATTCTAAGGAAATGAGCAAAATATGACAGGAAGTCTAAACAAATGGTCTCATCTTCCTTCATTCATTCATTCAGAAGAAGAAATAGATATTTTCTCCAGTTCTACGGGAATCCCTTGCTTAGAGTGTAGAAGTGACTCTTGTCAATTAAAAGATGACTCTACACCTGTCGCCATGCTTCCTGCCCTCCCTCCCTGCATGTCAGTGACCAAGTCACTTCATTTCTTTGCTAAACCTGTTCCCTGGCTGCCACTGGGCCACCCTCCCACAGGAGCTAGCAGAGGTGCCTGGGGAGGAGAGGCCTTAGCTCCCAGGGAACCAGGCCAGGTGCTACTCGGGGCAGAGAACCCACAGCATGAAAGGGAAGCTCACCGAACAGGCCCGACCGCCCTCTCCTCTCAGCCCGTGGAACTGGATTTGAAGCAGGGTCATCTCAACTCCTGCCCAGGGCCCCAGGTAGAGGGACTCAGAAAACCCTGCCATCCTTTCTAAAACATCCATGGATACACCAGGCAAAAGGTGGGAATCATAAATCAAACATTCCACCTTCCTTAAAAAAGGAGTCCAAAATGCTGAGAAAGCAACTCCCTAATTTTCTTTTTCTTTCTTTCTTTCTTTTTTTCTTAATGTCAGATTTCAAAACGAAAAGGCCAGTCTACTAAAGGCAAAGAGGATGAGGAGACACAGCAGCCAAACTCAAATCTAACAAAGATGTAATGCTCAAGGAAAGTTCTGAAGCGATTGATTCTACCAGCTGTTTTATAATGCTGCTTCAGCCTGGTTTGAAACTTTTAACATTAATGTACAGGTAAAAACTTTTATAATAAATTGGTTTATTTTAGCAAGCAAACCTCTAGGTTGGCCAGCACACAGGCTCCTAGGTTTGCAGAAGGGTCTTCTGTAGATAGCCCTAACCGCACAGAACGGGTGCAGCAGCTCAGCAGTTTGCTAAACATTGGTACCCATAGCCACAGCACCTGTGGAGTCCTCTAGCCTAAGGACTAAGAGGCCACAGGCAATGCAGGAGATATGGGGAGGCAAAAACAGCTTCAGAAAAGGAAGCTAAGGCCAAGAGGAGTAAGAGAGCAACAGCAAGTCCCCAGGTTCCTGTAGGAGGGGCAGACATGAAGGCGCTGGAAGGACACGGCAGTGGGTCATGCCAAGCTGTTGAAGGGGGGACAGAGCTGTCTGGCTCCGGGGTCTAAAAATCCACGTTCCACAACATGTGAAACCCCAATTAGGGATATTGAAACACCCTTCCTGCCCAGCTCCACCGTATGGAGAGATGGAAGAGGCAAGTAGGGCCACGCAAACAAGACGCACCAGCTGCCCCAAGCTCCCCAGTCATCTGCTTAGGGACCATCTGGAGTCAAGAATGTCTCACAGAATGTGGAACCCTGTAATTCTCACCATGTACTCACATCTCGCTAGATCAGTGACAAGGAGATTGGGGGCAGGAGCAGGGAGCAACACATTCTTAACAATTCAGAGGTGTGTGGGGTTTTCTCCTTTGGGATAACAGGAAACAGCAGAAGCAGACAGGGTGATCCTTCTAAAATGAAAAACTTTCCCCTCCAAAGTAAGCCATTCCTGAAACCCTACTGCTGGAGGAAGAACGCGGCAATCAAGCAGCGCGGGTGAAAGACCGTCAAAAGCATCCATTTGCAAACCTGCCTTAATGTTCTTACCAAAATACTGGACCCAAAGTGCATGTCCTCAATGTCTGTGGCTGCTCCAAGCCAGGCCACCGGGTTTGAAACTCTGTGAGCCATTGGTTCTGCCACCAGACTTCACAGAGGGGCAAACTACCCCCTAAGAGGGACGACACCTTGCTGGTGGCATGGTCAGGACAAGAATCCAGGACATGACTTGGGGCTCTGCATGCTTCTCTCCTTTTGCTGGTTGGGACACATTCTTCCAGCAGCAGCTCCAGATTTTCCACAAAAGGGGGTTGGGTGGCTGTAGGAAGGGGTTAGGACCTAGGTTGAAGCTATACTTCTGTGCTTTTTTACTGAGATCATATGTTCACATGGGGGGATTTTTAAAGGAGTTGGTAAAGATTATGGGAGGATGAAGTACCCTAAGCTAGAATGCCTTGTCTCTAATATAACAGGCTTTGAGAAATATTTGCTCAGCTGATTTCCAAGGAAGCAAGAACCTAAAGACTGACAGGGCCCTTCATGGCTTCAGTACTCAAAGGCAGCAGCCTCCTTCCCTGAGGAGAACCAGGTTAAGTCATCAAGGCAAAGGGCCATCTGGGCCTCAGGCCAGAAGATGAGGATGAAAACATACACGGACGCCACACCTGTCAGATGCACAGGCAACTTCAGTGAGTGAACTGAGCCCCTGACCACATTCAAAACCATGAAGATCTGTGATCAGCATCATACAATCAATTTCTATTTGTTCCTGCAACACACAAGAAATGTCTAGAAGATGGTCACCACATTTGGAGGCTATATTTGCATGCTCTGACTTAAAATGTTGCTATGTGAGATAGAAAAACACTACTGGCAATGGGGGAGAAGACACCATTCAAAGAAATAGTCAGTGTCCTTCAGGGCAGCAGAAAGGGCTGTGGAGGCCCCAGGACCACATCAGAAGACTGATCAAGTGGGAAGGGACACAGGGCCCCACTCTATCTAGTTTACAGTCCTTTAAGACAAACTTGGGGTCACCTATTTGGTGGGTACCTCTGTTCAGCAGCCTACCCTGTCCTTATCCATCATCCCTGTGCCTAGGAGCTGGCCCTCCTCCATGAATGATCTCGTGGGGACAACAATGAGACAACTGACTCCACTTTGGTGCCAACCTCTGGCCCAGTCCAGGGGAATTTAAATTCCCTACTGCTATTAACCTACACAGCCACTGCAGGCAAAAACTTACCCTGGGCCACATTGCTATGTACCTCTGTTAAAATACAGGGTCTATCTGCCCCTCTGCCGTCTGAGCTGAGGCTGGTCAGAAGCATTTCAGAACATGCTCTCAGCTGGTTTTGCAAAGCTGAGATTCAATTCTCCTGAGTTGCTCCTGGAAGGACATGCAGGCACCACAGCACAGTACAGTCCCACTTGCTTTGAAATCACATTGAGTTTACAAATTAAGAAACAGCTCAGTCTGGCACCAGATAAGGAATGAGAATAAAAAATTAACTTGGCCATATTCTTCCTCGTCAGTGATACTGGGCTCTTCTATGACATGGGCTTTTTGATCATGAGTAGGCGTGTAGATATTCTTAGCTGGACACCGAGCTAAGGGAAAATGACAGTCACTCTCCAACATTTGTAAGTACTTAGAAGTTTACTTCCTCTCATATTTATTCGTGACTCTTCCAAAGGAGTGCTGCCTGCTTTTTCATCCCCCAAATCTGGGCGCAAACACTGCACACATGTCTTTATAAATACGCATATTTTCCCACTGAAAATGTTTCGGCTCTAGGAATACATTTTAAAACCTATATTTTCCCCTCCCCAGTTTACCACACCCTGTTTTTCCTGGCAAAGCCATCAGAATTTGAAGTCCAGTAGAGAATTTCCTTTTGATTCCATCAGAATAGAGCAACATTGGCATCATCCTTCAGTCATTTCACATTTCCCTCACATTAAAGTGGGTTTATGACCACGAACACTTCGTATTCATAAATGTCTCAGCACACCCAAGCCTGAAAATCTGATCTAAACCTCCTTAACTTAAATTCCATCCATAATCCACAACTTCTTCAGAAAAAAAACTCTTCCAGCTTCTCTCCCCTCTAGCCCAAGAAACAGCCTTAACAGCGAGCGATTTCATTCTCATACTTTTTGCTCTGCTTGACTTTGCTCCTCATGGCAAAAGCTGAGTTTGAAAGGCCAAAGAGCCACAGTGCAAATTCTAATGGCACCAAACAAGCTTCGGTTAAACACATTTCTAAGAAAAAGAAGACCAAGTTTCTGAACCCCACAGAAGATTCAGGCCTTTGTGTCTAAGTGTGGGTCATCCCTGAGCTTTTTCTGGAACAGATTCGGCGTTTCTACTGCCCCTCCAGCAGTCTGGACGGTGCCTAGATCTGAGACCTAAACATGCCCTGTTATGTGGCCAAGACTTACTGGAGCTCATTTAAGCTTATCATCCCTTAGTTTTTTGGCGGAAAACAGGGTCACCATGCTCACCCCTAAAACATACCCTGGACGTCGTGCTCACTTGGAAAACATCTTAGGGTGATGGATGGGTTTCCCTCCTTATCTTGGAAGACACCTTTTCTTTCCTGTTGCCTGGCTTGGCAATTTTACTTTCCCCATACAACTCATCACAAGTATTCATGTTAGTATATATCATATGCTGAGTGTCTTCACGGGCAGGCACGGGATGGGCGTTATTATCCCTGTTTTACACAGTGGAAACTGAGGCTCTAAGAAGTTAATTCACCCACCGCCATACAGGTAGTAAGTAGCAGAGCTGGATTAAAACCCAGGCTTGTCTGGTTTAAAACTGCTTGTTGTTTCCACTTTGGTCAGCCTCGCTTACGACAGCTCCGGGAGAAGTCTCTGGAGTCCGTGCGAGCCGGCGGATCAGGTCTAGATGGAGGTTCTTTAACGACCCCACCTCTCGGCGATCTCTTAACCAACTCCCCCAGCGGAACTCCCATCCCCCGACCTTCGGCTCTGGGGCTCCCCTCCCACCCACTGCCATTCCTGCCTTTTCCTTTCCAGCCCCTACCAGCTGGGGCGGCCTCACGCCGGCATGTGCCCCCCGGGCCGGGGCGCCACGGGGCGCCGGGCGGGGAAGAGGGTCCGCTGCCAGGCCCGCACCTACCTCGTCCCCGAAGCGCACCACCTTCTGGCCCGTGGGCCCGCGCAGGCCGGGGAAGCGCGTGAGCTCCTCCGAGTCCCCGGGGTCTCGGGGCGCCGGAGCGCGCGGCCCCACCAGGCACCGGTCGATGATCTCGTCCTGCTGCGCGGGCGGCAGCCGCGCCCACTCGGGCCCGTACTTCTCGCGGATCTTCTCCTTGTCCTGCATGATCTTCCTGGCCATGGGGCTCAGCGACGAGAAGTAAGTGAAGCGCTTTCGCTCCCGGTCGTCAAGAGGCCGGTTCCCGCTCATGACCGCCGAGCGCGAGGCCGCGATAGCCGCCGCCATGGACGCCATGCCCGGCCTGCCTGCCGCTCCCGCCTCCCCAGTTTACCACACCCTGTTTTTCCTGGCAAAGCCATCAGAATTTGAAGTCCAGTAGAGAATTTCCTTTTGATTCCATCAGAATAGAGCAACATTGGCA